CTTTTCGTATATTGATTGACGCCGTCACCGCCGATGATGACGCGCGCGCATCCCCTGACATCACTATGGAAAGCTCAGTTTTTGTTTGTGTTGAATTTTCATTTTTATTTTTAGTTATTTATTTTTAGTTTTAGTTTTATTTGCTGCATATATAGCAGAAACAGGAACAACACAACCACATACAACCAACACAGTGGCTGGTGGTTGAGTCGGCGAGGGCTGCACAGAGGAGCCACCACAGCAGCAGCAGCAGCAGCAGCAGCAGCAGCAGCAGCAGTATGTCTTGAGTTGTTGTTGCGTAATAAATGTTTTACTAAATTTATATGATTAGTTGTTTATTTTTTTATAGAAATAAACTCTTTCTTACACAGAGCTGAGCCCAGTCTGTATGAGTTTCTGTGTTCTTAGTTAAGCTCTCACTCAACACCCGCCTCCCTCGCCTGTTGTGTGGTGTCTATACCGCTTCTACGACTTCACCGCAAAATTTCTGTTCTTCTACGTTTTTATTTTATTAAAAAAAAAAACAAAATGGTACTCGGCTCAGCTGAAGGCAATGGCAGCAGCAGCAGCAGCAGCAGCAGCAGCACGCAGTTCCCTGGTGGGAGCAGTTCAACCGGTGCAACAGCAGCAGCAGCAGGAGCAGCAGCAGGAGGAGGAAGCAGCAGCAGCAACACAAAGGGGAGTTGCTGCAGCAGCTGCAGCAGCACATGGAGCTCTCACGGGCTGCAGCTCCCCTGTGGTATGTGTGTATGTATTGTTGGTGGGGGTAATATAGCCGGTGCTGCTGCTGCTTGGCTCTCTAGAAAAGGAAAAAATTTGTGTGTGCATGTGCTCACGAGACAGCCGCAAAAGTGGAAAAAAAATTTACATGTCAGAGCTAACCCCACATGCAGGTGGGGGCAGATGGAACCCTTTGAGGCAAATATACACATGTAAGTTATATTGCTGCTGCTGCTGCTGCTGCTGCTGCTGTTGCTGCTGTTGCTGCTGTTGCTGCTGGTGGTGCTGATGGTGCTGGTGGTGGTGGTGGTGGTGGTGATGGTGATGGTGGTGATGGTGGTGGTGGTGATGGTGGTGTTGTAGTTGAAAGAGAAATAGAGGGAGATAGATACAGAACAAACAGAAACAGAGTAGAAAAAAAAAAAAAAAAAAAAAAAAAAAAAAAAAAAAAAAAAAAAAAAAAAAAAAAAAAAAAAAAAAA